TGTGAGACAATAGATTTCTCTTATTTTTTGCCACTAGATTGTAGTATGCCTGGCCCTTTAGCACTCAGGTTTCAACTCTGCAGATCCACTTATAGCTATCTTCTCATTAACAACATCAACTTACAGTATTGATTAATACAGTGCAGTGCCATTAATGTATATTCTCTTATAATTCTCTTAACATTCCTTTTCTGTAACTTATGAGAATACAGTATATCTTATACATAATGTGCAAAATGTGTGTTAATGCACCATTTATGTATCAGTAAGCCTTTTAGAATCAAATGCAGGCTAGTAGAAGTAAAGCTTAGGGGAGTCAAAAGTTAGATGTGGGTTTTCCACTGCAAGGTGGTCAGCACCCCTGACCTCTGCACTGTACAGGGTCAGCTGTACTTTGTTACATACAGCAGCCCCAGGAAATTTGTACACCCTCCAAAACCATTTCCAGATGGATAAAGGCTTAAATATAAAGAATAAATCCAGGAAGGGAGGTGAATGCAAACAAAAAGTGTAGTCCCATGTTAACCAGGTCTAGAAGAGGAACTGATGGCCGATATCGTGAAAGAAATGGCCCAGGAAATGTAAGAAAAAACACAATTAAAAATGCATGAAAAAACACCAAAAGCAAAACTAAATTGCTGTGAATTAGATTCACCAAACATGACAAAGTGTTAATACCCTTCCTATACAAAGAGCTCTCCAAAAAAATAAGCTGAATAGTTATGGTTCCACAGAAAAGAAATTGGCTAACAGGGACCAATTCAAGAAACAGAAAACAGTTGCTCAATCCGCATGGTTTTTCAAAAACCCAGCCTGATAGTGAAGAAATCTAAGCAACAAGGTACTCTTCTTTACTCACTGATGACTGTGGACTGAGAAAAATGGTAGAACTCTGATGTAGCTGGGCCTTCCCAGAAGTCACTTTGGCAAAGCAGATGGGGGGCCTTTGCAGCAGGGATCTGAAAATGATATTGACCCAGATAGATGGGATCAGGCATTCACACTGCATGGATGATATGATGCCACCCGTGGAGCAGGGGATGGTGGGTCTGTGTGAGACAGGTACTGTGAGAGTTTGCATTTTGCAGAGTTGCCTAGATGCTGACTAAGAGGCTAGAGCAGTGCAGATGAGGAAAGAGGAGGGCAAAGTGGTGGCCAAATCCCAAGCTGTGGTAAAGGCCTGGTCGGTGTCTTTCAGGAATATAACCAGGCTGAGGGGGAGGAGATCCCTTACTATGGCTTGGGGACTTTGTGCATTGTCTCCCTGATCCGGCTGGCAAACCCCTAATCCAGGTTGGACCTGTAAGCCTAGACCTGGCAAGGTGGGAAATGGCTAGCGTATGGGCACTGAGGGTGGCCGCACTGGATGGGGCCTCACAGCCAGGGGCTCAGAGGCTAACTTAGAAGCCTGTCATGGTGTACCCTGAGAGATCAATGCTGGAACACCCACAGCTAAACTGAAGGTTCCAGGGGCCTGGTGGATAGAGGTGGGATAAAGGGCTTTCCTGACCATTTGGTGAGAAGAAAGGGCAGTTCTGGGGACACAGTGACAGCAGACAGGATGTAGTCAGTAGAAGGAGCAAGGGAAAAGTTCCCTGGGCATTCAGAGCAAGGGGAGAGGTAGCCTCCTGGGCAGAAGGTAGGGCAGGAGCCTCTGGGCATGATCATGACCCCTGAGGGAGTACAGCTCAGTGGATGGGGGTGAGGGAGGCAGGGCAGGAGGGGACCCTACACAGAAGCAGGTCTAGGGCCATCCCCAGGGCCGCAGAGTAGGTGAGCAGGGCTGGCTGGGCTGGGTGAAATCTCTTAACTGGCAGTTGTGATGGCAGGATCTTGGTGGAGAATTCAGGAAACCCATGCAGTGGTTTCCATGGCATGGGGAACAACGGACAGGGGAGAACAGGCTCTATCAGGGCTGTGGGTGATGAAAGATATATTACTCTCTTTGGTTTTATGCCTGGGAACGCAACAGGCTCTTTCCAGGAGAGGTCCTTCCCAGAACCTAGCCCAGGAAAGGTGGAAAAGAGATAACCCTTGGGGAGGGAGTATGAGCTCCCCGAGGAAAAAGGCCAGGTTAGATCACAGAGGAGGCCCCACATGAAAATCCAGGATAGAAGAAATGATCTGGATTTAGGCATTGCCTTGTAGGTTTCTGTCCTCTGGCTGTCCCCTCCCTACAACCCTGTTGGTCAGTGCCTTGAGCAAGCCTTATCTACTTCCTCCTGGCCTGAGGGTGGGGCATGATCTCTGAGCCTGTGACTACACCATGGTCTACTCCATCTCTGAGTTTCCTACTCACCCAACCAAGGGTACAAATGATCTCTCTCCCATGCCAGGGTGAGGCACCAAGGTGCATGACAGTTGATTGACCCTGGAGGCACATGCAGCCCATATCGTTCTCTGGGAAGAGAAGCCCTGTGATTTCCCCATGACTTTTCCACCCCGCGACTAGCTGTCTAGGCCACACATAGGCATGAGGTGGTCCAAAGCCCCTAGCTGAGAGCTGGAACAAACCTCCAGAACTTGTCCACATTAGCTAATGCCCTGTCTGTGCAAGTCACAGAGAGAGGCCACCCGAGACCTGGACTCTGCCTGTGCATGTATGTGTTCATATGAAAATGCTGTGTATGCACATATACCCACATTTGTGTATTCCTTTCATGAGTATGTACTTAAAAGTGCATGAGGGTGTTCATGTGAGTGTGTAGCAAGCATTTGTCCCTGTCTGCACACGTCATGGGCTCATACACTATGTGCTTGCAAGCATGCATGTGTGTGCACATGTGTGCATTCCTGTGTCTGTGATTTAAGGTACGTATCTATGATTGGGCTCATATCTCTCACATCTGGCTTGGAGTACAAAAATAATTCACCTTTTGACAGTGTAGAAAAGGGAGCAAGATGTAAAAAGATGCACACCTAGGAAACCATTTCCCTTCAGATTCCACAGTTTTGTTTTTTTTAACAACTTTATTAGATGTCATTGACATACTCTAAATGCACTTATTTAAAGTATGTGGTTTGATGAGCTGTGCTTTATGCAAACACCCATGCGCATACTACCCTGCCCCCTTCCCTGGGCAGCCTCTGATCAGCTTTCTGTCTCTAGAAATTGGTTCCCATTTTGTAGGATTTTCATGCATGGACTCCTGTGTATGGACTCTTTTTAAAACTTTATTGAAGTGAAATTCACCCCAATAAAACTCACCATTTTAAAGTAATATTCAGTGGCATTTAGCACATGCAGCCCATATCGCAACCACCCCCCCCATCTAATCCCAAAACATTTCACCCCAAAAAGAGACCCCATCCCCATGACCAGTCACTCTGTCCCCCTCTTCTAGCACTTGACAACCACTGATATGCTTTCTATCTCTGAATTTGCCAGTTCTTTACATTTTATATAAGCGAAAGCATATGCTGTGTAGCTTTTTGTGTGTCCGGCCTCTCTTCACTGCATATTTTTGAGGTTCTCTTGCATTTTAGTGTTAGAGTTTCATTCTTTTTCGTGGTTGAGTAATATTCCACTGTGTGGATGGCCCACATTATGTTTACCCCCTTGTCCTTTTTTGGACATTTGGGTTTTCACCTTTTGGCAGTTGTGACTCATGCTCCCATAACCTGCATGTACAAGGATTCCAGTCCTTGTTTCTAATCTTTTTATCTATCTATAAGCAGAAATAATAGCTCTGTACTTTTTTTTGTCTAGCTTCATTTACTCCATACACAGATTCTGGATTGTCCCATGTTATTCTATGCTGTTCCAAGGATCAAAAGTTAGTTCCTTCTCACACCTGAGTAGCGTTTTGCTGTGCAGTCAGTTTGTCCATGCACAGGTGGTGTATACTGGGGTTGTTTCCAGTTGGGGGCTCTTAGAAACAAGGCTAAGAACATTCATGGACTATCTCTGCATAAATATCTGATTCATTTCTCTAATGTCACTCTTAGGAGTAGAACTGCTTGCTGGATCACATGCTGGTCATGTAAATAGCATTTAAAGGAACTGCCAAAGAGCTTATGCTACTATAATGAAAGCAGTCACAGACCATATGCAAATGAGTGGAGCACAGCTACATTCCAAAATAAAACTTTATTTACCAAAGCAAGTGTGAGTCTGTAACAGTCTCCTCCCTCCTTTTGGCCTTGTGGTGAACTACCTTGTCTTCATTCTTCAGAAGCAAGTGCATATTTTTAATAAGCATTTCACATTGGAATAAGTTCACATTTACAGAAAATTTCAGCAACAGTAGAATCTCCTGTCCTCTCCCCATCTTCCCTAATTATGAACATCTTACACCATCAGGGCATATCTGTACAAGAAATAGAAAATACAAGAAATGGATATCAGCTATTAACCAACTTCCTGATACTATCCAGCAGCCCCAGTCCTTCCATTGTGTTCTCTCACTGGCCAAGGACCCATTTCAGGAAACCCTATTGCATTTATGCCCCACAGTCTCCTCAGCCTTATTGTTCATGACCTTGGTGGTCTTGGGCAGGCGGGGGTCTGGCTGGGCATCTGGTGGGATGTTCTTGTGGTGTTAGAATGGAGTTATGGATTCTACAAACAAATGTGCTCCAAGAAGTTCTGTCGAACAAGTTTTAAGAGCTCTCCTTCACTTCATCCTCCTCGTTGGGGCTTCAGGGGCCCTGGGATTTTGAGGTAACCTGGGTCCATGGAGCCAGGCCATCATCTGCTTGACTCTGAGTGGAGAGGGTCAGAGACTATAATGAAGCCAACTCTAGGGCAAGGGTTTGATCTTGAGGTGGAGGGGCTGGTGATGACATTCTCTGGGAGCCATGATCCTTCAGTGAGAGGTCACATTTAAGGACAGATGGAGGCCCTTCTACACTTACGACTTTTTAGGAAAGTGCTATCTTGGGCAAGGGACTCAGACCGTGGATCCAAGCTATCCTAGCCTTTGGGGAATGGCGGGGATGAGTGTCACTAATCCCCCCACCATCACCACCTCTCTGACCATACACCCCTCTTCTTCTAGCTCCAGAACACGTGCCCCGAGCCTGGGAGGCATGCTGAATCTAGGAAGCTGGCAGGATGAGTGTGAACGAGGCTGGCAGCGCCGGCTGCCAAGGGCAGGCGGCCTACCACCTGCGCATCTACCCGCAGCTGGCCACCAGCGAGAGCCAGGCCTCGTGCCGAGTGATGGCCACCAAGGACAGCACCACATCAGATGTCATCCAGGATGCCATCACCAGCCTGCATCTGGATGGTACCAAACGTTATGTGCTGGTGGAGGTCAAGGAGACCGGTGGGGAGGAATGGGTGCTGGATGCCAACGACTCACCTGTGCACCGTGTGCTGCTGTGGCCGCGACGGGCACAAGATGAGCATCCGCAGGAAGACGGCTACTACTTCCTGCTGCAAGAGAGAGAGGCAGATGGGACCATCAAGTATGTGCACATGCAGCTGGTGGCCCAAACCTCGGCTGCCCGGCGCCTAGTGGAGCGCGGGCTCCTGCCCCGGCAGCAGGCTGACTATGATGACCTGTGCAACCTCCCCGAGTTGACGGAGGCCAACCTCTTGAAGAACCTGAAGCATCGCTTCCTGCAGCAGAAGATTTACACCTATGCGGGCAGCATCCTCGTGGCTGTCAACCCCTTCAAGTTCCTACCCATCTACAACCCCAAGTACGTGAAGATGTACGAGAACCAGCAGCTGGGCAAGTTGGAGCCACATGTGTTCGCACTGGCCGATGTGGCCTACTATGCCATGCTGCGCAAGCGTGTCAACCAGTGCATAGTCATCTCTGGGGAGAGCGGCTCCGGCAAGACGCAGAGCACCAACTTCCTGATCCACTGCCTCACTGCCCTGAGCCAGAAGGGCTATGCCAGTGGTGTGGAGAGGACCATCCTGGGTGCCGGCCCAGTGCTGGAGGTGAGCAAGCGGGCAGTGGGAGGGGCCGTGCTAGCGTGGGTGAGTGGCTTTCATTAGTTTCAGGCACAGCCAGGCAACCGCCATGGAGATAGTCTGATTCAGAGCCCCCTTGAATCATGATGGGGTGACATCTCCATAAACCCATCATAAGCTGAAAACATACTGAGTGAGAAATGCATTCAAACATTGTAGCTCGCCTAGCCGACTTTAAACGTGCTCAGAACATTGACGTCAATCAGCTTCCAGGTGGCCAAAGTCCTCTAATACAAAGTTTACCTTATACTAAACAGTAGAATATCTCATGTCATGAATTGAACACATACGCTATAAAGTGTGGGTTGTTTCCCCCACTTGTGGGGCCAACTGAGAGGTGTGGCTTGCTGCCCACTACCACACATCACTCACCTGGGAAAAGATCACAATTTGAAGTACAGTTCCTACTTAATGCATATTGCTTTCCCACCACCATAAAGTGGAAAGATCCTAAGTAGAACCACCATAAATTTGGGACCATCTGTACTCACAGTTCCCTCAACACGGAAAGCACCCCGCCATGCAGGACCATGGGGGGCAGCACCAGGGTCAGTTGGGAGGCTGCAGAAGTGAAGGGAAGGCATGAGCAGGAGTTTCAGTTGTGTTTTCACGGGAAGATCTGGCAAGGCTAAGTAAGCGGGTTTAGGATTAGCAGCCTTGAATAATTTCATAGCTCTGGGGTGTAGAGGTTGCCTTGGTTATGTGGTCACTGGCCCTGGGATTGGGCACAAGGGCTGGTTCTGAACATGAGAGCCAGGTGCCAGAGGTGCATGGGGTGTGGGCTCTGCACCAGTTGGTTTTCATGTGTAAGCTGCGCTCACAGGAATTAACTCACCCTGGGAGGGGCAGTCCCTCCACAGTCAGCCATGCATAACATGTTATGCACACTCAGTGCATAACATCAGGCTACAGGCATTCCTTGTTTTGTGGCGTTTTGCTTTCTTGCACTTCACAGGTATTTCAGTGTTTATAAGCTGAAGGTTCGACCAATCTTGCATCAAGCAAGTCTGTTGGCACTGTTTTTCCAACAGCACATGTTTCTTTTGTGTCTCTGTCACATTTAATTAAGGTTCATACATTTTGTAGACACAATGCTATTACACGCTTAATGGTCTGTGGTATAATGTAAGTAGATCTTCCATCTACACTGGGAAACAGAAAAAAAGTAGTGTGCCTCGCTTTATTGAGATATTTACTTTATGGAGATGGTCTGGAACCCTGCCTGCAGTGTGTCTGAAGTATGCCCATATTGAAAACAAAGAGGCCTGATTAACATTCTTTTTTTTTTTTAAATATTTTTTATTTATTTGTTTATATTTATACAAGCACTGGGTACAGTCAGAAGCGCGGGAGGGTGAGAGAATTCACCAGAGCCAGAGCGGGGAGCAGAGCAGGCAGAAGGACCGAAGCACACTGCTGAGGGGAGCAGCGGGCGGCAGGAGAGGTCTGAGCGCCATGCGGGACCCTCCTCTGGTGGCTGGGGAGCAGCCGGGGATCAAACCAGCGCCGCAGAGGCTGTGGGCAGCCTCGCAACCCAGCGCTCAACCGCTGCGCCACCAGGGAGGCCCCTGATTAACATTCTTGATCAAGAAAAGGAGGGTGTCCTAACTGAGCCTTTCAAGTTGCCTTTCACAGTGAGCTGTGGCTTGGGGGGATATGTTACTATAGCCAAAGTGGGAAGCAGTGGAGGAGGAAATGCCCTCCATCCAGCATCCCTGTTGGCTACGCTCCATGGAAACATTGCTCTGTCCCTGTGGGTGAGCCTTTTGGATGTAGGGGCAGTAGAAGTGACCACCCAACACCCCTCACTGTCAGGGTCTTAGCCCCATCCACTTCTCGGGACACAGTGTAACCATCAAACCCCCTGGTGTTGGCCAGGGCTTGGGGTCTGGACCTCTGGTTTTGGGCGCTGGTACTCTGCTTTCTTTCCTTTTTTTAGTTTATTAAATAGAAAAATAATAGCTATATGATTTTCAACAATTTCAATTTAACATTAATTCAGTTTAATGAAATATAGTGATATAAATTGAGCAGGTTTAGATTTATATCTAAATATATTGGACAGTTAAGAACTCCATGTACCCATCCCCCATCCTTATTTATTAACGTCTTACATTTAATTGATCAGTCAGTGCTGACACCTTGTTGTTAGCTGAAGTTCATGGTCCACACCAGGGTTCATGCTTGATGGTGTACGTTCTTTGGCTCTAGTAACATATCCACCTTCACAGCATCATACAGAATAGTTTCACTGCCATAAAAGTCCCCTGGGCTTCTTTTGTTAATCCCTCCTCCCCCAGCCTCTGGGAACTTCTGATGTTTTGCTGATCTTATACAATCTTTCCCAGAATGTTGTGTAGCTCGAGTCATACTGGCAATAGTCTTTTCAGTTTCTTTCACTCAGCAACATGCATTGAAGAGTCTCTGTAGCTTCTCCTGGCATGAAGCCTCATTTGGTCGTGTAACTGAGTAGCACCCTTTGTCTGCATGTGCAGTCCATCCATCCACAGGAGCCCAGACCTTCCCTTCTCAGAGCCTGGCTTCCTGCCAGCGCCCCCACACTGAGGGCCCAGTGCAGCCACCTCAGGGCTGCTGTGTGAATTTGCTGAAATCACTTCTAGGCTGCGCCTGCTGAATACATTTCAATTCCTCTTCCTTTCTGATGATCTAAGACCATCAGCAAGAAATTAATTGGGATTGTAGGCCCTGGCCCTGGGCCCACACGTGCAGCCTCTTTCTGTCTTCTCCTGTATTTGTAACATAAAGATTTGTTTTCCTTTTTAGCACAAATGCTTGAAAATTTTCTGTGTAATCTGGCCACAGAATGTCCTATTTTCTTTTTGGTGCTGTAACCCTGAGTCCATTCTGATGGACCCCTCATTTTGCAAATATTCCCTGAGTACATATGCTATGTGCCAGGGGCCTTTCTAGGCCGGGACTGTGCAGTGGCCAAAATGAGCACAAAGACCTGATCAGGTGATCAGGAGGCCTGCCATGAAGTAAACAACAGGTCTCAAAAGTGAACAAAGCTGGTGGAAGGGCAGGTAGACCAGAGAAAGGGACAAAGGAACAGGGGATGAGAGATAATGCCACATAGCATCCAAGAGGGCCAGGCCAGCACAAAGGCCTTGCCTGGCCTATTAGACAGTAGAAAAGGGATCCGAAGGACTTGGGAGGCATTGGGGTGGGGTGACCCATGGCAGAGCAGGAGGTGGTGACAGGAAGGTGATGAGAGCAGATCATTTAGGGCCTGGTGTGCTGCCGGGTTCGGTGTGACATGGGAGCTATGCAGCATGGTGTCCTAGTCTCTACCCGATCCCGTCCCAGCTCTGCAGCTCAGCTGCTGATGGCTCCAGTGTCCCCCAGCAATGCCCACATGAGCAGCCGCCATGCCAGGCTGGTCACCCCTCGTGGAACCAGACAGGCAGGTGAATGTGCCCCCAGGTCTCAACTCCACACACAGAGAGGCAGGATTGGCACGCAGGAGAGTGTCTTTCTGGCTGAAGACCACCAGGGGCTTCTGGATGGTATTTCTGGGGGTGATCGTAACAAGTGACCACAAGTTGGGTCTTAAAAATAAAGGAACTTTACCCTTACAGTTTGGGAGACCAGAAATCGGATACAGGTTTCCCTCACTTGCTGAAAGTAGAATATTTAGTATGATTTGGTAGGTTGTTCTTTGGATCTGGGAATGCTATTACTATTAATTTAATAAATAAAATAATTTTTTTTGAGAATTCCCATCAATAACCCAAAAATAACCCACCAAATCATTCTACTTACTGAAAGCTGGGGAAGCTGGTGTCAAGGTGTGGCAGGGTCATGCTCCCTCAGAAAGCTCAAGGGGACAGTCCTTCTTGCCTCTTTCAGCTTCTGGGGACTCTAATCATAATGGCTATTACTGCATCACCCCAGTCTCTGCCATCTTTGTCACATGGCCTTCTCTTATAAAGACACCCATCCTTGGAGGTGCGGCCCCTGTCATCCTAGATGACTTCCTCTTAACTAATCACATCTGCAGAGGACTCATTGCCAAATAAGGCCATGTTTTCCGGTTCCAGGGGACGAGGCTGTATTTTTGGGGGGACATAAAGCAGCAGCTCCTGCCAAGTGACAGCTGGGAGTGTCTGGTGCCCTCTTGCTCAAGGGCTACCCCAGCTCAGCCTCATCCTAGTGGAGTGCCTAATTTCTCCCTCGCACCTCCATGCTCCTCCCCTGCAGTTACCCTGAGGGATTCTGGCACATTCTTCAGGGTTGTTAGTCACTGTCCATGGCAGGCGTGTGCAATGTGCACCCATGAGTCAGATCCCTGACCTTGCCTGGCTGCCTCCTTCAAGCGCCCCGGCAGCAAGACTGAATTTCCCCAGCGGTTAGCAGCTGCTGGAGGGTGGTGCCCGAGTCTGCTTCCAACACAGGCTTGAGCCAACCCACGTAACAGCCATAAACGTGCTTCCCGGGGTGACTGTTTGGAAAGGGAGGTGGTTTTAATTTAAAGCTGTGTTTTCTGGCCATGGCACAGTTGAAGTCTGAGTTTGTGTCATCCCCTATGGTTGCAGTACCTGCAGGGCCCTGAGCAGCACCCCTGGATCCCACCCACCAAATGGCAGCAGCCCCCCCAACCCATTCTTGACCAAAAATACCCCTAGATATCACCACGTGTCCCCTGGGAGGAGTCTCCCCTGGGTCACAGGCTGTGATCCCACGGCATCCAGCCACTATTTATTTCAGGTAATGACTATTTAGAAAATATTCCATAAGTAAATCCCAGCCGTTCTGAGCCAACCTAACCTAAGACTTACTTTCTAACAATAGGAATAATAAGCTATGGTGCCTTCAGGCCCTCTAGGTGTCAGGCTTTGGGGACCACAAAAAAGTAGGAGGGACGGGCATAACAACAGGAATAGACTGCCTCTAAGTCCTGGAGACCAGAAGTCCAAGATCAAGATGTGATCAGGGTTGCTCCTTTT